GTATTTTTCTATGGTTTCTCTATGTCGTCTATTTTGTACAATTTTTATAATATCCAATGTTTCTTCAATTTTATTATATGTGTGTCCAGTGTTTAATATATGTTTAGCATATGCTGAGTAATCTTTATTGTGTTGGATAGCAGTTACATGTTCTTTGTATCTTTGTTTGAAAGTTCGTCCTGTTTGGCCTATATAGATTAATGGGCAATCTATGCATTTTAATCTATATATGCCAGGTTGTTCGTATTGGTTTTTTGTGTCTAATTGTTGTTTTTGTTTTAAGAATTCACAGAATAATGGAAAACAAAACATAAGATGCATAAAATAAGAAGATCAACAGAACACATACTATAATAATTTACAAAACAGATGAATAAATGAAAAACTTGCATTGAAATATAAAGTAGTTTTAAAGGAAAAACCTGAAGATGATGCTACGCATCGAAACATGTAGTAATGAAGGCGCAGTATTGTAACATCGTAGTAACGATGAATAGCGCAAATTTTAAATTTTAACATCTGTAAATAAAGTTTGTGTATAGACCTGAATTATATTATATATTTTAATTATAAAACACAAACATGACGCATTTAAACTATAAACTTAATTATAGTTAAAGAGTGGTCTGGATTGATGGTTGGCAATGTGTTTTGTAAAATCATTACTTTTCTGCTCCACCACTCAGCACTTCTGCTATTACCTAATCAAAGAGAGTAGTGGGATGTGCCTTATGGTGCTATTACATCATATAACCATGGAAACAAAGGAAGGTCAGTAAAATCACAGTCTGTTAGAAATAAACAAGTTTCTAATATATTAAACTAAACTTACCTGTTATATTGTATGAAGACTAGATTCCATATCTCTGTAAGATCACTACAACCCATGTTGACTTTCGCTGCAGCAAACTGACGGCCAGGAACATGATCTATGTGGATCTCAGTACATGGACCACAAGGTCCAGTGACCCCCATTTCCCAGAAGTTATCATCTGAACCAAATGGCAGAATGCGATTTGGTGAAACGCTATACAGTGAAATATAAAAAAATTATTGTCCACAACAGGCCATCTTGCCTCAAATATGTATTTTTCATCTTCTACAAACTTACTCTCCGATATTCATAGTAGAACTTGAAGATTAAATACCACTAATACCAAAGAAGAGTACAATTAATATCTGAGGGCATTAAATACATCAATTACCCAATTTGTCTCCAGATGTCTCTGGTCTCTAAGTCTGGTCCCAAGCCCAGAGCAGAGTCACCTCCATGATATGTGACATAGAGCCTAGAAGGGTTCAGGCCATATTGACCTATTAATAGATTCCAAGCCAGTTCACATGCTTCTTTCTGCATAACAGAGCACAGACAATTAGTGCAATGATATCACAATGTGACATACATACACACACTCAAACATAACACTGCCCCTGAGCCTATGCACAATAATGTCATGAAGATGAAACGGAAAAAGTGTGGTATGGCATTCCATTATAGATATTACTCAGAATTTACTACATTCTATTTATCAGCCTACCTTGAAATAATCTCCAAATGACCAACTCCCAAGCATTTCAAAAAAAGTATGATGATAGCCATCTGCACCAACTACACCCAAATCATTATGCTTTCCTCCGACCCTTATACACTTCTGGCTGTTGGCAGCACGAAGACATGGTGGTTGAACATTTCCAAGAAAAACACTTTTGAACTGCAATCAGGGAACAAAGATAAAAAGACATTTCCTTACAATACAGTGCCCAGTAATTTGTATCTGTTGTAATTTTATCTGAGTTATGAGCTACAAATTTTGCAGTTAAGAGGTAAAGCATAAAATCTGAAGTTATTACATATGATAAAGATCACAATCTGCATCACCACACTTCAACAAAATTTCTACAGATCTGATGACATTCAAAAAATATATGTGAAACATTTCTCCTCAGCACTCTTGTTTTAAACACAATCAATCTATGTTCTTCCCTTAATATGAGAGATCAACTTTCACACCCATACAAAACAAGAGGTAAAATTATAGTTTTACATATTTCAATCGTTAGATTAATTAGATTTTTAGACAGCAACCAGGATCCAAAACATTCTGGACCTCATGACAGAAAGAATTCCCCAAATTTAATCTGCTTTTAATTTATTTTTGAATGAAAGTTTGATTTTTTTACCACTGTTCCCAAATTTTATAACTCTGCATCACACTCTAAATATTTAACAGCAACATTTATATTATTATTCCATCCTGCAGTCTAATCACATACATCAGTTTCTCTGTATTTAATTCTAAACCAACTTCCTTTTAGCCCTAGCATTTTTCATAATGATATTTCTGTTCCCAACTAATACCATCAGCATAGAGCAGAAGCTGATGTCTCCCATTCAACTCCAACTTCTCCCTGTTTTCTTAGATCTTCCTGATGGTGTATTCCAAAGTATGGTTGGAATGCTACGATGTTAAAACATCTCTATTCAAATCATTCTGAATACAAAATGCATCAGACAAATTTTGAATTCTTCTCTTGCTACCAGCCACGTCAGGTGGTTGAAAGGCAAGAAACCAACATTTAAGAATGTTGGGCAAAATGTTACATGTACTTGTTAACAAGAGATATTCCTTGATAATTACTGCAGTCAGATTTACTACCTTCTTATAAACAGTTACAATAATAGATTCCTTCCACAAGTAGAAAACTTATTCAGAGTATACAGATCAAGATTTTTAAAATAATTCATCATAAAAGAATCAGAATGCAAATTCAAACTGACTGTTGTTAATTTTAAATCACTAGTTATATTAGTTGTACTAATTACAATTTTCCATAATTTTCTGCGGACTGCTGATGCAATATGAACTGCATAACAAAGCCAGAATCTGTAATACATAAAGTTCTAAAAATCTTTCATATACAAATAAAGACAAACTTTAGAACAATACTTAATAAAATACTAAACATCATAATAGTACACAGACACCAGATGTTAAGCCCTCATAATGATGACGAGTTTAACTGATGGAATTTGAAGTACCTGGTTCATTCCAGCATTAACAAATGCTACAGTTGGATCACAGAAGGGAACAACAGGACTTGATCTCACAAATGTGTGGTTATGTTCCTGCACAAAGTAATCTATGAAAGACTGTCTGATTGCTTTTGCTGATAATGGGCCAGCATCATGATAATGCCTGATGAATCTCAGGTAAAAATTGAACTTGGTGATATGGTAATGTTGTGCTGGTATCCTCATGCTGCTGAAACAAAGAAGTATAACATACTTTTATCATGATACTTTGCACACCTGGTAGTCTAGATTAAAGTGGTGGATTCCATTACTAAAAATCAAGTGCTCCTCTACATATTTCTCTAGATGCTATGACCAGTTACAAACAAATCTGCTGAATTAAACCCCCAGACTATAATAAACTGCAAAAGTAAAAACAACACTCCTTTTATATCATATGAAATTATACACAATGCTTGTCTACTATATTACATTATATTTTGTACAATTCTTGGACAATGTAAACTTGAAACAATAATAGCCATTATTTCAAAAATTCAAACATACCATAAAATAGTCATGCCTTGAGTAAAAAGATACAGCTGTTCCTAGCAGTCATGGTACAAAATATTGTCATTAATGTGATGTGATGTGATGACTACATCCACAGCACAGATGACATAAGTTTTTTGTATCATCAGGAAAAATTATATTCTGACATTTTGGTAGCTGTCTTCTGGGATGTTGCACTGCATAGTCTGGTAGATATTATCTGATGCTTCAGGGAAGCTTACTGCCTCATTATCCTCAACACCCTGATGATGGAGGTAAAAAGCTTCTCTGAGTCAATATCTACCAGACTATATGGTGCAACATCTCAGAAGATAGCCATCTTCATACCCACTGCTGTGAGAACCTCAAATCTCACAATAAATTTGACAGGATTGAAAATAAGTTTAATTCTAAATCTGCTTTATGATTTGAAGGTTTCATGGTGACAAAACTTAAAAGAAAACAGTTGCATTAAATGTTTATACAAAGAAACCAACATTTCAGGAACCATCTCCGTCCCCACCATTAGGGTTCTGATGTGACCGGATACCACAATCATCTCCTATATATACCTGCGCAGGAGTCGTAGCTGGACCTTAGCAAATCGGAGCTGGTGGATGGAATCAAGTGCTCATTTTGTGTGGCCCTGCTTTCCTATTAGCATTTTTGCCAGACTGTTCGAGCATGTTTGTCACAGGATTCCATTAACTTTAGGTGAAACCTCCATCCCTATTAAAGTTTTGCCTACATCTGGGATGTAGGCAGAACTGTGAAAACAAGAGTGGTTCCATGAAAATCCTTTCATGCACCCACACTGTCACTTTTCTTGGCCACCTGCATGCAGGTTCAAAAATGTCTGGGAAGTTGTTATTAGTTATTCTGTATGTCATAAGAACATGAAAACTGGAGTATGTGGTGATAGGAATGACAGTATCACTGGATCTGGCATAGCGTCTCAGTACAAAGTGACAATACAACAACATCAATGGCCTAAAACAAAGGCCAATTTGTTTGAGCAGTGAAAACTCTCTCAGAAAAGTTTCATCTTCATATATTTCTGGACCAAAGAGGAAACTAAGATAGCAAAAAGAAAACATAAATATACTTACCACATTGCTTATGACTGCTGCAATTTCTGTCAAGAAGTCTGCGCTAAAAAATCTGCCAAAGCCCACAGGTCACAATGTGACTGGTGAGTTCACATCATAGAGTAGACAATGCAATGGAGATTAAAAAGTGCTTTGAGCTGATGACCATCAAACAGTTATGCTTTCTCCAATCAGTTGAGGATCGAACATCTGACACTTCCACAGATTCCACCCACTTCGAGAGTCAAGCTGGGCACAACCAACTGTTCCAAACATGGAAAGCTTATGCCCATATGGAAAATGTGGTAATATCTGATAAACATCCATGGCCTTTGTTGCAAGGAAACATGATACCATAAGAGCAATAGAAGACACGAAGGGCCTTGTTAAAAAATGACCTATGATTAATTCTTACCTTTGTAAATGTATGTGCATACGACATTCATAGTGGTAATCTGAATCCTAACGTTTTTAGGAACACCGTCAATGTGCACAGTACTTCTCCTGAGAGTGACCGATTCCAATTATTCCTTATAACCGACGACAAAAGACGGCATAACCACAATCAACACGAATCAATTCTGCTTTAGGTTAACTACGTTTAGGTGTAATACGCTACAACCACACACCGCCGCTGGTAGGTTGGTATTAATCTACGGTATGATTACGGTTTGGGTTCATTCGGGTTTCAGTGATACTGAGGGGCAAAGGGCGTAGCTGCCGTCATTTCGAGAGCTGCTTGAAAGCGCACAGAGCTCTTTTAGAAAAGCATAATTAATTAGACAAACCTGTCGAGAAATGATCGATGTTAGAAAGTATGAAATCGTGGCAAAAAAAAAAAATCCTGTCTGAGGTGATACCCTTCACAATACGAAAGAGAATTTTCCAGTATCTATTCGAGATATTGAATCTCAAACGAGCAATTCATATTCATTATTCCAAGTTGAGAACAGTATCAATAGCGCTTTCGTTGTGGCGGTAACTTGTACCGGTACCTTTCCTGCAATATGCTTGACAACTATCGGGCAACCTCAAAGT